AAATTATTTTTGAGAAACGCTGCAGAAGGGATTTATGAAGAAAGTTTTGCTGAAAATTTTCCCATTTCGAACCATTCATTCTGATCAGTTAATTCAGAAAAAATCCTCCTCTTCAATTGTGTAAATTTAGTTTTTGCTTCTGCGTACTCAATTCATCTGCTCCACGTTGATTAACGAAAGTTGACAGATGGAAGCAGCAGATTAACTGTCGGCTTCCAGGAAAATCAAAAAACTGAAGGTTTCCCCCTTAGTTTTAAGTGTTTTATTGAAGAGTAACTTCCTTATCTGCAAAAAAAAGCGTCGAGTGGTGCGGAGAGTAATTCTTGGAATTCAGCAGATAGTCTGATATTTGATAAGTTACCTCATGATCACCTGAATATTTCTGACAAAACAATATAAGCAGTTCCTCTGACTATTTTTGGTGATTGACCTGGTTGAGGAGATTTTCTCTCCTTCTGTAGGTTTTTAAAAACAGTTCTTGACACTGCTTTAAGAGCTGCAGATTCAGACATTCATATCAGCTTTTTTCAATTCTCTTCAATGACCTTTGCTAGAAGCTGCAAAATGTGTTAGCGGCTGGCTGAGCCGTTTCCAAAACTGAACTTTGAACTTACTTCAGAAAGGTGTCTCAGAACGTTTTTTGATGATTCTTTTCGTGTGTTATTGTGTCAAACAGACGAGGAAAAAAAGGAAGATTTTAAATTCATGAGAACCATTTCTACGAAAACGAACGTTGTTGTCGTTTGTACAATGAAGGAAATTTTTTTTGCTTCTCAAAAACTACAGGCTGTCAACAATTTCTGAATATTGATCACTAATTTTTGAATCACATCGTTTCCTTTTGTCTTTCACCTCACGTACATGAGTTCTCTCATTCTATTCTCAATATTCGCATAATTAAGTTTCGCTCAAACGAACTAGAGGAGAGTGAAAAAAACTGCTTAAGCTTATATGGTCTGTTTCTATGTTTCGAACAACACCTGCCTTTTAAGAAAATGTAGTTGAGCAAGCTCTGTCTTACTCGCCGTCTCTACGCAGATTTTCATTTGGCGGCGAGGCGGAGCCAATTAATGTTGTGACGAAGAAGGTAAAAGACAGAGCTTGTCTGATTCTCTCAAAAATCCCACAAATTCTCCTGTTTTTATCCATCTCTCTAGCGACTTGCTCTCGTTTTCTCTCTTGAAACCAAGTGAACCACGTATCGAGAGAGAACAGCAGAAAGACAACGTGATTGTCGACGAAACGGCTTAAAAGAAAAATGGTCTGGTGTTTCGAGCTCTAGCGTCCTTCCATATAACAGATTCCATTTTGTGAAGTGACTTTGTCTATTCGCCACCTCCTACTCCTCCCCCTTTTCGATTGGTTATTAATTTCTTCGTACATTCCATCTGACATCATTCGAGCTTCAATTGTTCTCCCCTTTTGTTTTGTTTTCAATCTGTTCTAAGTTTCATTCATCTAACTCATTTATTTATTCCTACTATCCCATCCTATTCCATTCGCACGGTATTCCATTTATGGGATCTGGCTCAAGTGTTGCATCTAAACCAGCAGGAAAGGTAGAAGCTCCTGAACCGCCAGCCGCTGAAACTCCAACAGTTGATAGTCGGTTACCATTTCCGAACTTCCGCGAACTCTATACTCTAAAAAATTATTGGAAAACAGTAAGACGGAATGAGAAAGATTGTGGAAAAGCCATGCTAGCTAGGTACATTTTATATTTTTCAACTATTAGCATCATTTGCCATATCCGGATCACCCTCTCTTGACCACATCAAACAATGTACTCGCAAAAACTTGTTAGAACTACAGCTTTTTACAAAGTTTTTAAAATGAAAATTACCAAATTCAGCGGTACATTTAATACAATTACATCTAGAAAACAATCATTTCCCATATGTTATTATGTTGAAAAAAGAATTTTTCATGGTATTTTTCAATGCATACCACCATTTCATCCGACAATCCCGCAAAACATAACTTCATGTTCTAGAAGGTTTTTTTTAAAAACCGTTCAACAATGTTTTTCTGCTATATTTGGCTTAAATTCCATTCAATTGTAGTTTTGTTTCTCAAACTTTTAATCAATTTTCATACAAAAATTCACGAGATAACATGTGATTTGTCCTGTTTTCGTGATCGATAGATGGCTATATGTGTGGCTGGCCTATCCAGTCCCAGAGCCATGCTTGTGATGGCAACAGAAAACATCAAAAATCCCTCCAAATTGAATTACAATCACCTATTACATAATGTATTTTATTGTTTTTAACTAAAAAACATCAAAAATGGAAAGACCACTGGGACGAGATTAGAAAATAATAATTTGCCGACTGTATTGTGTACGTCAACAAACTATCAGTATATCGTAACAAGTCTTTAGATATTTCGTGAACAGAAAAAAAAAGAGATAATTATGCATTTGTTTACTTTTCTCATTCAATTATATGTGTGTATTGTATAAAGCTGCTGCAAACTAACTCTTCCACACCAAACATCGCAGGGAAATTCCTTATTTGTCGCGATCTGTCAAACAAAAATATTCAAATTTTGCTATTTTCTATTCCTTTGTCACACATCATTAAGCTGTTTCATTTCAGGTATTTAAACCAGCAAAATGAAAATCAGGCTATGTATCCGAAGCTCAAAAATATTGATCCCGGCACAGTCTCAGCTTCATGCTCTGATCCCGGATTTGAGGCGATTTCAGCGAACTATCTTAAGGTTAGTCTGTCGAAAGGTTTTTAAATTTTTGTGACGTGCTTAATGGTTTTTTTTGTGTTAATGTCACGATGTGAAAATTTATGAGATTTGCTTCTCTTAGGTATTTGATGACGTAATATCAGCCGTAGAAGAAAAGCCTGGAGACGTTCAGCAGGCCTGTGATAGGTTGACGTCAGTGGGAAAGATGCATCGAACAAAGGTAAAAATATCGCAGAAAATAAATTAATTTTTCCTCAAAAAAAAAAAAAGAAAAAAGAAAAATGGAAATCTCCATAGTGACTAACTAACCGTTTGCATGTTGCAGGTCTCAACGATGAAAGCGAATTCTTTTCAAGCCATGGAAGATCCTTTTCTACATATGGTCAAAGAAGTACTGCAGGATCGTTTCAATGAGAAAGCCGAGAACCTCTTTCGCAAATTTTTTCAGTTTTGCCTCAAATACTTGTTAGAAGGCTTTAACGGTTAAGAGTTGCACGAAAGAAGAAACAATCTCGGCTTTTCATGAACAAATTGTTTTATCAATCTAGGCACTGGTCGCTTACTAACGAACTATTTTCTTGAAAGAAAAAACTATTTTCTTCTTTCTGTGTACAAAGATCAGACATCCATGTGTGTGTGTGTGTGTGTGTGTGTGTGTGTGTGTGTGCGTGTGTGTGCGTGTGTGTAGTTTATTGATTAGACTCCTCCTCATATCTCTGGTAATCAAGCAATCCATAGCTCCAAAGAACATTTATTTATGTTAGTTTATAATTTATGATAAACACAATAGATGAGAACATGAATACTTTCCAATTTTCGTATATATGAGAATTCTATTTTCCAACAAAAACCTATTTTCTTCTCCCTTTAATAAGATGTCTGACCTTCTCTAATGCTAGCAAATGCACATACGGTTGCCTACACAACCAACTTTTAGTTTTGTCCTTTCTTCTTTAATTATTTTTCAACCATTCTCTATGTATAATATAGAATTATCGTTTACAACTATTTTATTTCTTTGCATTTCTTATAAATTAACTGAAATGTGATTCGCTCCCCTCTTACGACTCTTTCCCGTCTATTCCTTCTTTTCGCAGTTGTCAGTCAGGTTCTGCTCAAATGTTAATTCCCAAACTATTTATATTATAAAATGTTTATTTTTGCTTTTCTTCCAGCTAGTTATATTCTCTGTATGCATGAATTTTACAGCATCGACATGTATTATATTTTATTTTATCTTAAAATAGAAATAAGATGTTTTGAATTGTATGAAAACTGCTTTCATTCCTGTTTCAAAAATTATACATCAATCCGAGTTATTCCCCAGTAATAAGGGGGTTTGTCTAGATATCTGATGTCATCCAGCAGCTATCCCAGGCGCAACCGTTCATCAGCATCGACATTTTTTAAATGAACGTTTGTTGGCGTGTACACAGATAACTTCATTAGCATATTTCAAACAGCTTTTTCACATTTCGAAAGTAAGCTTGATATTTACAATTGATGCTTTGGACATTTCGTTGACGAAAAAACAGAACGTTCCACTCTTTCCCACTTGCAGATTTTGCGAATAGCTCGGTTTGTTATATTAATCTTACATATAGCGAAAGAACAGGGGGAGAGGGATTTCAAAATTTTGTATATTGATTGGCGGGTTTTGATCGAATGAACTTGAACAATATGAAACCGCAATTACTCATTCTCATAGTTCAGCCGTTCCGACGTATCGAGAAAGAAAACGTTCATTATGTTTGCAAGAACTTCGTCGTTCATACTATCAAAGATTGAAACTTCTCTCTTATTCTCAGATTGTAATATACTTATGATGTGGTCATCCAATTTCGCCTGGACGAGTAATTTGTAAGTTTTCCCAAACCATACCATATGGATCACATGGTAAAGATTTGCTCTGATTGAACTTCGTCATCTAGAGCTTCTCATAATCAATTGGATATAATGATGGAAATTATTATTATAACTAGTATTACATTGAATGTTCGTTAATCGAATTAACCTGTTTCAATGATGGAATAAACTATTTTTCAATTGTTAGCCTTTATATTTCTTATGGAAAATGCTTGAAATGCGTGAGCTTGAAAACTCGTACGTGAAATGCTTCTCTTTAAGTTGAAACTTCGAGCATGATTATAAAACTATTAAGCCTGATTAGTTTGGGAAATCAAGCACATTACTACTGGAGAGCGTAATCATTCTCCCGTTTTGGTGAGTCTTTGTAGTTGAACTCAAAAACTAATTATTTCTCTGCTCTGATTTTTTACTTCGAGTAATTATAGAAAATGATATCGCCTGGCGATCCACTATGGAAGTTTTGTGGATTTGCCAATGGAAGTTCATTTCATTTCAAGTATATAATTGACGAAGATAAAAAAACGTTCACACCATGCGCGGAGTTCGGAGCTGTTGTAGGGCAATCCATACCTTTGCTCTTCTGCATAGCATATAGCTTTGCCTTTGTTTCAGTGAGTTCTTTGGATGCTTTCGCAAAAACAATAGCTGTTAAGAAAACGTTTGAACGCTACTCCACTACAGATATACGGAACATATTCATAATTCGAGCGATCATATGTCTGCTATGTTCTGCTTCAATGTTGATATCCCTTTTCTATTCGCTGCTCACTCCACATCATATCAAGACGATCCAACTGATCGAGTATGGATTTGTTTCAATAGTTTGGTTCATGTTCTCCATTCTGTGGATGTATTCTGCGAAATATAAAAGGTGAGTCGCTCAATTATCCTAATCATCAGAATCAACCGATTCCATTCGAAAGTCCACGACAAATGATCTTTTACGTCAGATGAATGACGCCAAATTCAAATTTCCGTTACTCTTTTTCAGTTGGACTCGATCAACACTTTTACATATCTCAACGTTCTTTGGATCCAAAGTTTTCCATGAGATTCTAGTCAATCGTTGGATATTTTTTGGCTTTTGGGATCCCCGAACCCAACTCATACTTATGGTCTGTATACTTCACGCGGTTTTCACAGCTGTTAACATTATCGAGTTTATCAAACACAGGTTTTCGAATGAAATGAGTCTGAAGTTAATTGTGATTTTTGAGACGTGCAAACACACATCAACCATTAGATGATTATGTCCACCTGAGCGAAGGTGCTGATGAAGATGCGGGTCTTTTCTCGAAAATTTTCTTCTGCTGGACGAATGATTTGATAAAGAAAGGAGCAAGAAAACAATTGAACTCTGTGAGTATACACTAATCTTTTCTCTCACCGAAAATGCTAAGATCCATGATATTTTCAATCTTCCTCCTTCCTTACAAGTTGCTACAGTGGAGTATGAAATGGTGGAAAACTCTCCAACTTTGTATTCAGACGGGCAACCCTACTCTCTGAAGATGTGAGTGACGTGATACTTCTTGAATCAGACAGTATTTTAAGGTCTCTTTATCACACATTTGGACTTCAGTTCTTTTTGTTAGGAATATTACGAATTGCTTCCGATATCTTCACTTTTGGTGGTCCTATTCTATTGCATCTATTAGTAGTTGCATTGGAAAGCTCTGATTCATATGTAGCGTTCGAAAGAGAAGTGATTGTTTCACATCAGCTTTTTCAGAAAGAATGCTTCTTGTTTGCGGGTCTGATGGTCTTAACCTCGTTCTTGGCTGCAATAACATCCAATAATTTCAACTACTACATTCAAAAAATATGCTTGAAGTCAGTTACATTTCTACTTACCTAGAATATTTCTAAATGCAGAGTCCGAGCTGCTACTGTTACCTCCATTTACGATCGTTTACTACGAGTCCCCATGTTCGAAGTATCCAAGTTCTCTTCAGGTTGGATTATCTCGGTCTTTTTTTGTAGACACTACTGTTGCAGGGAAAATAATAAATTTTGTCTCAACTGATGTAGACAGGATTGTCAACTTCTTCAACTCATTCCATTCGTTTTGGAGTTTGCCTGTTCAAATGTGCGTGGCTTTGTATTTGTTGTATAAAGAGGTAAGTAGTAATCATCGGTGTTCCGCATTCCCAGTTTTTAGATCGGAATGGCTTTCCTTTCTGGAGTGGTGTCTGCCATAATACTTGTTCCCATTAATAAATGTATCACGAATAAAATTGGAGAGATGTCTGAAAAGCTTATGCACGCAAAGGATCAAAGAATCAAGGTAGAATTTTTTGGTTGGACATTTCAAAAATTCCTTTCAGTTGACGTCGGAAATGGTAGAAGGTATTCGAATTGTAAAAATGTCTTCCTGGGAGCATCAATTCGAAAAAAAAATAGCAAAGTTGAGGAAACGCGAGTTGTACTATCTGAAAGTAGTAGTCCTGTTGTTGAACCGGAACAACTATGCGAATTTTCAGATCAGAAAGTATTTGGATGCTCTTTGTGTGTATTTGTGGGCATCTGCTCCCCTGCTCATTACGGTTTCTATCTTGTCAACATACACTTTGGTTCTTCATGAGAAACTTACAGCAGCTAAAGTAAGATGAAATAATTGTTTTTGATCAAGTTTTTCCTGCAGGTATTCACTGCACTTGCTCTAGTAAACATACTTATTATGCCGTTAAACGCTTTCCCTTGGGTTATCAATGGCCTTGTAGAAGCTGTCGTCTCATTGAAACGATTGGAATGGTTTTTCAAGTTGAACGTTGTCGATTTCTGGAACATCTATTCTGTTAATCGAGGTGACTATCTAGGGTATATCTCATACAGCCTCTCCTTGAAGAAAGGAACAGCCTACTTTCCGTGAAGTCTGGTGGTTTCGCTTGGGGGCCCACTAGCTTCAGCGTCAAGAACATTAATTTCGATGGAAATAAAGTGAGGCTCTCATGATAAATCCACTGATACTCCTATATTGATTTCTAGGGCTCTATAATTGGAATATCTGGTGATCTAGGGAGTGGAAAATCTACGCTCCTTCATGGTTTGTGTAGTTCTACTATAACTATTAGTGTTCTGTTCTCGTCTAGGTCTTCTAGGAGAAACTATCAGCAATTGTGATTACGTTCGCATTTCACAGGCTCTGGTTAATGAAGGTTTTGGTTATCTTGGTCAAGAAAGATGGTTGTGCAGAGGTAGCATACGCATATCATATATATTTTCATTCAAACAATCTCTCTTACAGGAACTGTGAAAGATAATATTCTAGCTGGTAAACCTTTCGATGAAAAATGGTATAAAACCGTTCTGGAGATAACGTGTCTCCAGCACGATATCATGGTACTCTGATAATTTTTTTCTTATCTAGTTCTGTATTCCAGCTTATGCCGGGGGGTGATTCGTATGAAATTTCTGACAATGGATCAACTTTAAGCGGAGGTCAAAGAACTAGAGTAGCATTAGCTCGTACTTTCTATCAGGTCAGTAAAATATTGAAAAAAAATGGCTTCTACTGAAATCATCGTTGCCTATTAAACGCGTTTCTGTGTTTGAAATTGATGAAGAAATAGCTGCCAACCCATATTACATACGGCGCGGTAGAGGCAGTAGTCTGTATGCCAGCATAGGTTCGTTGGAAGTGATGAATTCTAGTTGGGAATCTCTATGAATCAATGTGATTTCAAAAATTACTATTAGTTTCTGATCCAAATGCATTCGAAAAATTTTTTTTGAAACAAACTATATTGTTTTAATTGTATTGTAATGAGAGGTTGTAAGTTGGCTATGTTTTAATTTCCGATGTTGGAGGAACTTTAGGTTTAACCAGGGAGGTTTCGCCAGCATACAATGTTACACTTGATTCTACTTGAGCCTTATACGGTGATAAACTTGAGAGGGTGCTAGCGATTGTAGAGAGTGGTAGGAAATGATGAATTCTAGTTGGGAATCTCTATGAATCAATGTGATTTCAAAAATTACTATTAGTGACTGATCCACTTAATTTTGCAAACTGCGTTGGCTTGTTAATGCTTTATGAACAGAATGTAATTAGAAGTTTACTATTATATTGAGTTTATCTATGTTTATACGATATAATCTATCTCTATTGATAGTTGCTTTCGATACGGTGAAGGTTGAACGTAATCAGAGTGAGTAAATCGTTAAGGTGGGCATGATGAATTCTAGTTGGGAATCTCTATGAATCAATGTGATTTCAAAAATTACTATTAAAATCTGATCCACCTAATTTTGAAAACTGCATTGACTTGTTAATGCTTTATGAACAGAATGTATTTAAAAGGTGGTTATGATATATAGTTTCTCTATGTTTATATGATATACTCTCTCTCTATTGATA